TCATTATTGATACGCTTCTTAGTCTTTCAAAGCCACAGAATAGTGATGCGCCCAGGGTGTCCCTAGGCCAGGAGATATCGATTCGGTCTGAGGAGCCTGTCGGAAACAATGCGCGTAGCCCTTCTGGGTAGAGGCAGCGCGCTCATATCAACGTGGACTGAAATCTTCAATTACTATGGAACTATGCTGCCAGGGTCGCCCCTACAATGGGGCATTCATGCGAGTCTACGCGGGCTACTATGCAGACGATGCTAGTCTCGCCTTACGCCCGCTATGCTATGCTAATGCTGGCCCTCGCATACTTGGGTTTCAACAGGGGGTACTTAAAAATCTGCGCACTGCACGGGCATATTAGAGCTCGCCACCTTCCCCAATATCAGGCTTTACCTTGTCACTCCTCCTGGCGACCACACGTTTCTGCTTCTCCTTCTTCTGATGGCGCTCTGCACGGATGTTGGTGCCCATCTGCTGGTCATATTTGTCTTCCTCCTCGTGAATGTACGCCTCAATCTCATCCTCGGACATACCGCGCTCTTCCATGTCCTCGAGGAGTATTTCTTCCATCTCTGAAGGTGTGTGCATCGCCATGGGATTACCCATGTCGGCCATATTCTGTTGCATCTGCTCAGCCTGGACTACTCGGTGGTCGATTTCGACGAACTCGTAGTCTTGTCGCACCTTGTCACCAATGACTGCGTCTATTGGTATTCGAGTTTCGTAGTTGCACCGATCCGTGAGATGGTGACAAAGCAGCTCCCGTGTCTGCTCTGGATCCGCGACGTCGCCGTGCCAGAGAGCGAGCGCAAATTGGTCCACGTCCTCAAGCTCATCCTCGAAAATAAGATCGCAGGATTTTTTTACCGTCGCAGTTTCTCGGTCCCACTTTCGCACTTGATTCCGTCGCTCGACGAAGAGAAAACGGGCATTATTCAACTCCATGGCGGCGATTTCCGACTCGCTTGGCTCGTTCCAATAGCGGCTTCCCTTGACGCTTGAAAGCTTCTCTGTCAGATCGACAGTCCACATCCACTCGCCGGCCTTTCGCTTGCGGTCACATACATCACTTATTGTCTGGATAATGTCATCTTCCGAGAATGCAGACCTACCAGCAGGCCATCGAAGATTGTTACACATGCGAAGAAACACACTTTTTAACTTTTTTGCCTGGGTGCTTCATTTCAGAAACGATCGGTTTGTCCTACAGGAAGCACACGAGGTCCTGCAGGTATGCACATGCTCACTGATGCCGCACCTTGAGCTTTTCCATGGTGTCAAAGTATACCGAGAAAGCCACAAGCTCGCAAACGTCGCACATGATTGGGTAGAGATCATCTTTGACATGGATCGGTTCCCGCATACGCTGCCTTTGTGGATTGAACAGCAAGTCTGGCGACTGCGCCGCGGCTCCAACAAGCAGGGACGTCAGCACAAAATCATTGTACATCTTGACCAGTGTTTTAGGGAAATTACTATGTTGGAACCAATAAGGGTGTATATATACTATGATGGAAACAAGTGTGGTATGAAATGCTATGATGGAACCAATCTTGAGGGGAAATGGCAGTGTTCCTGACTTAGACTGAAAATGGAAAAGTGAGATGGAGCTGCTAGGCAGCCCTGATTCCCAACAGGAGAGGGTTACTCTATACTGTCTTAAAGTGGAATAGAAAGAGAGAAAAGGGAGGAAATTGGGAAAAGGAGAAAGGACCCTCATACTAAAGTGGGGACCTTGGGACTGAACTCAGTCTCATGAAGATATGAGACTGCAAGGTAGGGAGAAAAAGGGAAAATAAGGTACATGACCCGCTCTCTTCACCTACACAATGTGCTAAGTGCAGCCATTGCTCTTCTCAAATTCTACAGAGGAGATGAGACTGACTTAACCTCTACTAATCTTCAGTTTGAAACCATGATGAGTCTCGCCAGGCATCCAAGTGCAGGTAATGGCCTCCTTTATCACGTTTGGCACCAGATAATCAACTTAAATGGTGTCGACACATCCACATAATGTAGAGAGATGGAGATTCAACTTGACATGCTTACCTACGACATTTCAAATGGACACTGTCTTCTCCGGTTTATTCTATCCATCCGCACTATACTCGACTGTCTTAAGAATCGTATTGCAACCTACAACCTTGCAGCTCGAAAAGCTGTCTTGTATGATAGGTTACTTAGGCTACACTACTTTGCCCATGTAGCATCCCAGGACCCCCAAAGTTTTCAGTCAGGGGAGGAATCGAACTAGGTTCCCCGTTTGAAATCTCATCCGCACTCTATAACACTTTATCAAGCTTCGTAACAGCTGGACTCAAGTGGTTAAATAATCATTTTCCACAGAACCTCCTAATTCTCGATTCAGGTTCTACCGGATGGTTCAAGAAGACCACCAGTGGACTTATTCCCTCCACGATTGAAAAGATCGATATCCCTATCACTATGGGGTCTATTGTCGCAAAGGGCACCATGACTGGACTTGGCCCTGCATGCATTAAGGATGAATCAAATACCTCCACAGGTATTCTTCACTTAATCAGATGGATAGTCGTACCATCGTTTTTCAACCACATCGAACTTGCCTCCCAGGACACTTTTGAGCGAAATGGCTGGACTGTTAGTTCATCCAAAGACTCTAAATTCATGTACAGAGCAAATTCTGCCACAGCG